ACTTGTTCTGATCTAGTAGCTTGCTTTCTGTCGTCACCTGAGCTGAGAGAGACGGCAGAGTGAGAGCGTGCACCGGCGATCTGTACCCTGTGTCCCTGTGTTGTATGTGATCTGAATGATCCCTACGACGAACGCACCATATATCTTGTTGCAAATAAAAGCAGCTCCTCTGTTCCATTCCATTCCTTTCCAGTTTGTTTCCCAATGAATGAATGCAAAAGGGGATGGTTTGATTGCGAATAAACAGCTAGAGGTCTGAATTTCATTGGAACTGGTTTTTTTCGTGATGGTCTGATCGCAAATAAACAGCGAGAGCTCTGAATTTCATTCAGGTTTCTGTCAGTGGAACTGGTTTTTTTTTCGTGATGGTCCACTCCATCGATCGTTTATGTAAGCATTTCATTCATTTCAAAGAAAGAGAACTACGCCGATCTGAGTAAGGCCCTGCTGGGAACAGAGGAATACAAAGCATAGGAATGGAAAAAAAACGCAGGAACAAGAAAGCACAAGAATTGAATGAATGGGTAAAACAGAGAATTAGAAAAATACAGGAATTTCATTGGAGTTGTGTTTGAAACACAGGAATTGAAATATCTTAGGAATTTGTGGGAGCTAGAAATAAATCTAAGTGCTTATACTAATGCACAGTGGTTCCACATGCTAGTTATTAAATGTACAAATATTGTGGTCTGCTGTGATCCACTCATTTCTTGTATTTTTTTAATGCCTCGTCGGTGGAATCATGAAAGGTGGCTCCGGCGGCTCAGGTAGGTACTACTAACGAGGTTTTCTTTCCTTCATTTTGCGTAGGAAACGAAGCTTTTCCAGAGGAAAGGAACGCTTGGTTCCTGCAATGCAAACACATGGTGACGTAATCAAAATGGAGGAATCTTGTTCCTTTGAAATTCATATGGCAAAACTCCAATAACAGGGCCTGTTTGGAACGGAGGAATACAAAACATAGGAATGGAAAAAAAAACGTAGGAACAAGAAAACACAGGAATTGAATGAATGGGTAAAACAGAGGATTGGAAAAACACAAGAATTTCATTGGAGTTGTGTTTGGAACACATGAATTGAAATATCTCAGGAATTTGAGGGAGCTAGAAATAAATCTAAGTGCTTATACTAATGCACAGTGGTTCCACATGCTAGTTATTAAATGTACAAATATTGTGGTCTGCTATGATCCACTCATTTCTTGTATTTTTTAATGCCTCGTCGGTGGAATCATGGAAGGTGGCTCTGGCGGCTCAGGTAGGTACTGCTAATGAGGCTCCTAGATCGCTATTAGCAAGTGATCAGGCCATCCTTCATGTGCAGGAAAATTTCCAAGGGATTCAAGTGGATGTTTCCTTTCCTTCATTTTGCGTAGGAAACGAAGCCTTTCCAGAGGAAAGGGACGCCCGGTTCCTGCATTCCAAACACATGGTGACGTAAGCAAAATGGATGAATCTTGTTCCTTTGAAATTCCTATGGCAAAACTCCAATCCAAACTAAGGTGGAGGGGGAGAGAAGGCAGAATTTGGAGCTGTGGGATTCAGCCTTGAGAGCTGTGACTGTGACAGGCTGATAGCACCGGGCATCCACACCACTTGGGCCACAATGTCGATGTGATGTGCCTGCCACATTAGTCCACACATCTGCTCCGAGCAAGACCCAGTATCATGTCCATGTGTGGCGGAGTTTCCTTAAAAGAAGAATGTGCATTTAAAAAAAAAAACTGGATAGCAGTTGCAAACTTGCAATAAAGAGCTAGAGGCCTGAATTTCATTGAGGACTCTATCAGTAGAACTAGTTTTGCCACATTTTGAGGAATGAGGATGAATTTTTCGCGATGGTCCACTCGATCCATTCTTTCTTTCAGTCCTGAGAGAGTTATGGGCTTGTGGCAGAAGCACCGGTTGTCCACATGGGCCGTAATCTTAGATGTGGCCGCAATTCATCCACACATCTGCTCCGACCTGCACAACTCGTCCGACCTGCGCAATTTCTGTTTTCTGCCGGTTTCAGCTGGGAGCCCAATTGATTTCAGCTAGGGTAGCACACCGTTATCCACTTCTGTTCTCTGTCCTCACAAAACGCAACAACAAAAAGCCTAGCAAATAGACACAAGGCACGACCTTTAACCCCTTTGAAACATAATAATTTCATAGGAACGGTACGGTAATTTTATAGAAATCAGTTTATTTAAAAAAAAACATAAATAACAGGAAAAAATTCGCGTTTCAAAGGGAGCCTAAAACGAAAGAGTGATTGATGATGTCTAGTGATGATAGCACTTTCTTTAGGCAGTTTGCATATTCTTAAATTGTGTCATCACTGAGAAACCATAGTACAGTGTTTTTCTCTCACAACAAATTAGTTTTAGCTAGCTTATCACCCGCAGAAACCATCAACCGAATAGCCCGGTCATTTCCGATAATACCAAAGCATTTTTAGCACTTTGCATTGGGCAAGGTAGCCATTTCGACGTAGCGGGGATATGCAATATGATATATGCTCGTGTCTTCTTCTTGTTCATCGGCGGTGAGTGGTAAATAGGAGGACATTTTTTGTGATGGTGTCTTCCAAAGCGGATGTTGCCATGCGCGATGATGTAAGAGAAAACAAGAAATACTAGAAATATCACAAAATAACAAAATCAAAAATATCTGACATCGGTTAAGTAGATTATAATCATCATTGGCAAGAATAACTATCAGATATATTTTATTTTCTAAAGAATTATCCACCTCTTTCATTATGAAAACAGTCTACTATAACCTATAAATTTTAACCTAAATTACCCAACTATGCCATTATAAAATTAATATAAACTACCTTCCTAAATGGAATATAGATTCCCAACCTTTACTTAAAAAAAGAATCTAGATAACCCACCTCTTGTCTCCAAAGACATTCGATAGATTACCCACCTTTTGTATCTTTGGACACATTCGATAAATTACCCACATTTTCCGTATATAAACTAGCCTAAAGTGAACCCTAAACATGGATCCAAATTACTTATATCTGTCTTCATAGATAAATATATCACAAAGTACCCATACAAATGTTTCGAAATTATTAATTTTAACCTTTTTAATATAGGAAAAAACGAGCTCAAGGTATACAAAGTATGATCTATGATGTGTGCCACTTTATAGAACATATCTCTATGCATAAATGTAGGAAGCCATAAACGTAAATCAACTTCAATTTCCATGTTAAACACATAGCTTAAGCTATTATTTTAACTAAGCACATGCCCAACACATGGAGGTGTTCCAGAAAAACACATGAAGGTGCCATGTAAAAAAATGACTATAAATAGGACAAGAAAAATATTTAGAGTATTTTGTAACTAGAGTATATCACAAACAATATGGATAAATGGGAGAGGGCGAAAATAATTAGCTCATGTTTTTTTTGATGGTCAACGTGGGGAGAAGGTCTCCTCACCTGGTTTTATTACTGCCCCAAAAACGCTGCCCGCAGGATTAGTTACAGCCTTATAGGTTTACAGTGCTTTCATGCTTATGTTAGCACATGAAAAACTGAAGAAGGAAGTAGAAAAACACATGCCGAAAATAATTAGCTCATGTAGGAGCATGACATTTATCCTTGAACTTCTACCAGGTGCAATTGTCACTAGCTTGTGTAGGAGTATTAGTTGGTGGTCTCATACCTCTGATTGAGCAATAGCCCAAACTTTTAAAATTGCTCTACGAAGCAAAAGCAAAGGTTTATACGATCTGCATGCATGGTGTCCTCTTAATTAGCTTGCAACAGGAGTTAGACAACACCAATAAAAGCATTTCCGTGGAGCTAGCATAAGTGGCGTAGCCATGATTTGTAGCTATGGTGGTCCATTGTCTAATTTTTTTAACCGCTATAAACTTAACATGTTGGTAGACGAAGTACATGAATTGCAAAACGCAACTAAAAAAAAAGAGGACATACAGAGTTCATATTACATGCCCATAATAGTTGAAGAACAATACGGTACTTCTTGTCAGGCCTACGCCTTCCAATAGCCATGAAAGTGTGGATGATCTCCATCACTCAATTGTAAGAAGATATCCCGCTCAATAAAAGTCACTAGACAATTTTTTGAAGAAGAGAGGCAATATCACCGCTCCTCTTCATATTTCAGCAAGATAATAAAATATTGTTTCAATTTACCATTCCAATAATCAATTGACAGAAAAAATCCTATCCTACAATTAAAATTAAATAGTCCAATGTCACCGTGCACTCCAATAATGTAATCTAATGACACATAATAAAATAAGGTTTTCTACACGAGTTAGGGAGTTCTGCGTTCAGCGTTCCTTCAGACTGGGAGAGATTGGGAGGAAAAAAAAACAAACCGGAGTAGCTAAACGAGCAGGCTAATTGGAGACCGGAGAGGTTGCCTCTGGTCGCTCGTCGTCCGGCGCCTGCCGCCGGCCCGCCACCGCCGCATGTCCGCACACACACAGCAAGGGATACGAAGGGGTGTAGACCGGCCGTATTCACGAAGGGTCGCACGACGTGTATTGGCGAAAGGCCGTAGATGCTCCGATGTATTCGATCTTTGGCTACTCAGGATCAAACTTCCTGTATCTATGGGCTTTGTATGGACCGAGCACACGGTGCTCCGTGGACCACCCGTACCACCCTTTAGCTCCGCCCCTGGCTAGCATACATGTCGCCACATCCACGAACATTGATAAACAATTCAAACATCATGGCCGTCGTGCGTGTCTGTGTAATAATAAATAAACGAAGTTATTGTTCCATCAAGTACGAGAGAGATCGTTGACAAAAACACCAAAACATCAGCATCAGAACTCGGTCCAATGTACACGGTCTGCATTTTCGTCTAGTTGCGGCGCTGCACCAACCACCAAGGCGCCATTCCGCTTACACGCCAACATCTCTCCCCCAGATCCCAACTGAAGGAGAAGTAGATACAGAATAGAAGATGCAATCCATTTGCAGTACGTCAACAATGAATAGCTTAACGATGGCTATCAGTTTCCCGGCAGGCCTGTCCCCAGATACAGCGACAGCCGGCGTCCAAGAACGCCGCCGCCGTCGTCGAGAAACCGATCCAAGTCGTCATCGAACGGCCACAAGAAATCATCGAATGGGCAGTCGCCGCCGCCGTCCTCCAGCGCCATATGATCCACCAGCCACGCGTCGTTCTCGTCCACGGTTGTCATGGTGGACGCGGCGTCGGCGCCGTCGTCGTCGACCTTGTTATCAGCGGACGCCGCCGCCCCGTCCGACGTCTCCTGGTCCTGGTGGTGGTTGCCGTCGTCGGGGGACGCCGCCCCCGGCCTGTCCCGCGTGGTGCCGGCCAGCGCGTTGATCATGGTGGGCACCGCGTGGCAGTGGTCGGCGATGTAGGTGACGACGAGCACGCCGGGCTTGGCCGGGCTGCGCTCCACCAGCTTCCGGGCCATGCAGCTCTTGAGGCTGCTGCACTTGTAGTATCCCCTGATGTGCATGCACAAAAGTTGCATTCTGAATTTCAGATGCAACCTACTCATATTCCTAGATGGTTATGCATGGATATATGTACATGTGCAAACAAACAATACATACACGTACCGTGGATAGGGTGAGCCCTTGATAGGCTTCTGGCCGTACTTGCGCCATGCCCAGAGGTCCGAGGAGACGCCGCCGCCGGCCGCCGGCACCTCGCACACCACTTTCTTCACCTGCCTCTTCTTGCTGAAGCAATAATCATGCGTGCATGCATCAAATATCATCATCCGTTCATCGATCATGCATGCAAAATGAACCGCAAATGAAATGGCGGAAATTAAATCGTATGTACCGTACCTTCTCTTGGCCCTGGGACTGGGAACGCCCAGCTTGCGGCCGGGCTGCCTCCTGGGCTGGAGCATCTGGCCGGACGTGGTGACGGCGGCGGCGTTGGCCGGGAGAGAGAAGAGCACGTCGTGGCGGAGCTGCTGCCCAGCCCGGCCAGACGACGGCATCGTCTCGCGAGACGACGGCGTGATGGAGAAGGGCATGCGCAACTGGTCGTGGTCCACGAGGTCCAAGTAGTCGAGGTCGCGCCGCGCCACCGGTTGCCCGAGGAACTCCTGGGCTGGCGCCGTTGCCACCGCACAGCCGCCGCCGCCGACGCCGACGCTAGCAGCAGCAGCAGCTTCCCTCGGAGGAGCGTCGTCCCCTCGCCGCGCCGTCGTGGCTCCGCTGCTGCACGCTGCTGGTGCCGTGCCACCGCAGCTCCGCACGAGCGCCTGCAGGTCCCAGTCGTTGGAGCAGTCCATGGCGATCGATCGTGTGTGTGCGAAGGTGGGGGAGACCGGGAGAGGGTTCATATATATGGAGATGGTTGACTTTGGCATGGCGTGTGTATGTCATCAGTATGTATATTAGATATTTTTATAGATAGATAGATATAGCGCGTGCAGTGGCTGTGTAGTGCGGCGGGCGACCGAGCGACGAGCCGAGAGCGAGGTGTAAAGTCAAACGCAAAGGCGGGCGGCGGGCGGCGGGCGGCGGGCGGCGGCGATGTGCTCTCGCTCGCGCCGTCGCTGCTCGGTAGTGGTGGGCACGAACGAAGACCGCCCGCGATAGATAGATTGCTGAGGGCACTCGCCGTGGCGGCCGGGGCCGGATCGGTCGCCATCGCGTCAGGATCCCGCACGCAACCTCTGTACGTGCAGGCCTAAACCACACTGGTTTCACGTGTCGCCCAGCCCAGCCGCGACACCAACAGGCGACGTCTTCTTCCGTGCCTGCCTGGCGATTTTTTTTTTGTTTTTAGCCCCCTTTTTTTTTTTTTAAAGTTTTTCACAAATACGCTTCTGGAGGTATGCTTTTAAAATCTAGACCCTCACCTCGGCGCCAAGCTTACACGTCTCGGCGCCATAGTTTTTGACGCCTAGGTCTTGGGACCACGTCGGCATAACGCAGAGCTGGCGGCCGTGGATCTTGGCGCCGAGTTTGGCGTCAAAGATCTTGGCGCCGAGCCGGCCTTACAGGTGGGTCCATTTTCTTTCTCTCTTCCTTTCTCCCTTTTCCTCTCTCCCTTTCTCTCTCGCTTGATGCCTCCCGCCGCCGGCGCCGCTCCTCCTCGCCACGCCCCGCCCCGACCACCGTTGCCGCTCCCGGGCGGCTGTGCGCCCCGCCCCGCCCACAGGTTCCACGCCCCGTCCCGCCCAGGCCCGCGCGGCCGCCCCCCCTCCCCAGGCGCCGTGCTATGCCGGTCGGCCGCCGCGCCCCGCCCCGCCGGGCCAGGCGTTGCTGCTTCCCCGTCCTCCACGTCTGCCCGCACTCGTTGGCCATTCCCCGGCGCCCCGTCCCGCGGCCCTCCACCACGCCCGGCGCCTCCTCTCCTGCTCTCCACCGCGTCGTGCACTGCCATCATTGGACAGGTAAATTTCGTGTATATGCAATATAGTTAGTTAGTGAGGTTGAATTGTTGTGTAGTAGTTAGTTTATTGATGTACTTAGGATGATAATGTGATAACCTATTTAGTTTAATTAGTTGGTGATCAAGAGATTAGGTGATAACCTAGTTAGACTATTTACTTAGTTAGTTAGCTATCTATTTAGTTAGTTATGGTGACCTATTTAGTTTAATTAGTTGGTGATGTAGTGGTAACCTATTTAGCTATCTATTTAGTTAGCTATCTATTTAATTAGTTGGCTATCTAATTTTTGCCACAGGACATCACGAAAACGCATATTTTGCTGCAACACACCGCCAACGCCATCGTTTGCTGAGTACCATTATGAATTCGATTATGTTTGCCACAGCACACCGCGACCATTATTTTAATGATTTCTAGAGTTTGGGAGAGAGAAACCGCAGTGAGGAGACAATTTTGCCCCTGCTCGTTGCTGGTCTGGTTGGACCAGGTAAAGTCAACCCGGTCGTCTCCCTCCTACCGCCGCCTCCCTTTTTCTTCCTCTGCTGGCGCTGTCCCGTTCCCCTATGCAAGAACCCTAGATCCCCATGGCTTCGAGCTCGCAATCCACGCCGTTCGGAGCGTCGCACTCGGCCTACAGAGACGAACTTCGCATTCCAGAGCTCGAGCCCTACAGAGATGAAGCAGGATTCTTGCCATTGGTACCTTGCTCCAAGTGCGGAACCCTTCTCATCGGTCGCGTTTCACATAAGGAGGGCAGCAAGGGGAAGCGGTTCTACAAGTGTCCACTGTTGGAGCATGTAAGTTGTGGTGGAATTGCATCTCTTTTTTGGATGCGTTTTTTTGTTGATTTTTTCATCTCTGGTTTGCAGACCGATTATGCCTGTCGCACATACTACTTTGAAGAACACTATGTCCCTTTGTTGGTCTCCAAAGGTGTTCTTCCTCGCCATTTCAGTCAGCTTAGAGGTCGTGATGGCATGGGGCTGGAGGTGATGAAGGATGGCAAGGACATGTTGAAGGGTTGCCAAGGTGTTGATGCCTGCCAAGAACTGATGGAGAGTGCAGTCATTCATCTCAAAGATTCAGAGGCACTGCTTAAGGCATTAGTTGATAGCAATATCAAATTGATGACAAAGATGGATAAGATTGGAGAGAGACTGCTTGTAGTTGGTACTGTAAAGGTGTTTATTTTAGTTTTAGTTTTGTTAGTGTTGTTGGTTAAGTGATGCATAACAACAGCTTATCATGTATCAAGCTATCAACAGCTTATTTCAAAGACTCAATTTGTGAACCTTATCATGTATCAGTATGTAATCATGTATCCAGCATCTTATCTTGCATCTTCTTGCAACAGAATTGTGTCACACTCATTTTTGAACTGGCATAACACATAATTGTATCACACTTAGGAATTAAGATAAATTGGCATAACACATAATAAAGTCAGCATGCCAATAAAGTCTGGCCTTCATAACAAGCTTACATATCAATGTTCATAACACAGCAGCCATAAGCTGTGACTTTAAGCGCAAAAGGGAAACATAGTCTGCCAACCCTAGGTTCAGTACACACTAGGTTCATTACACAACAGTTTCATTATATAACAACTAATAAATTTTGTCATCACATGTCTATGATCAACTTCTTCTTGTTGATCCTCTTGTTGGTCATCTCTTCTGAAACAACCACTGTCTTACTTGTTTCCATACTCTCAGACTTCTTTTTCTTGGTGGTCTTGCTCACTTTGCTTGCCTTGGTTGTCTTCTTGCTCAGGTCCTTTTTCATTCTTTTCCCTTTCTTTTTCTGCCTCATGTCAGCTGTTGGGGGGGGGGGAGTTTCAACAGCATACTCCAATGCCCTCCTGCGACTGTTAGACACATAAAACAATAGGAATGACAGGAAAAGGTGAGGAAACAAGTGACAATGCTGGGCTATTTCAAGACAAAGATTAAATACGTCCTAGTGTTTGCTGCTGGGCAGTTAGTCAGAGCTGGTGGTGCAACACTGATTTCTTGAGACAGAGCTAGGCTGTTAGTCAGAGCTGGTGGTGCACCTTCAATTTGTGATTGTTGGGTGGATACAGTTGTTGCTGCAGCAGTGGTCTTCTTTGTCCTTGGTCTCTTTGCTGGTGGTGGTGCATCAGACTCATACACAGTCTCATTGCATGTCTTCATCATGTGACCAAACTGACCACACCTCTTGCACTATCTCTGGGAAGTTGACTTTCCACCTTCTTCAACACCTTTGATCCTCCTAGTTCTTGGACGGCCTGCAGCTCTCTTCAACAATGGGGGCCAAAGTTTGAAACCCATATCTACTTTAGGCCATTGATTCCTATCGGTCATGGGCTTGATCACATGTTCATATGCCTTCTTGAACTTATCAACTAAAAAGTAGTCATCCACATAGTCCTCAACACTTCTATTGCGCATTGAATAGATGAGACAGAGAGCATGAGTACATGGCAATCCAGAAATCTGCCACCTTTGACAGCTGCATGTTCTGCTCTCAAGATCCACAGTATGCCTCCAAGTTTTCAATTCTTTAGTAGTACCTTGAATCTCTGTAGTGTTGTTGGGCCCCCTATGTATGACATACTGTAAGTTTCTACTCATAGCATGAAGTTCTTTGGTGACTTGAGGCAAGATCTTGTCTGTCAACCTCAGTGACAATGCCCTTCTGATATCTTGCTTCTCCATGATCATTTGCCTAATCCTATCCAACAGAGGAACTAAGGCAAGGGACTTTTCATTCCTAATCCAACTGTTGAAAGTCTCTGCTATGTTGTTAGTAACATAGTCACATTTGCATGCATGGGAGAACCTCCATCTACACCACAAGTGCTTGTGGTTGTCCTCTATCCATTGCATTGCTCTTGGTGATGCAGCCTTCATGATGTTGTAATGGCGATCAAAGTGTCTTTGGTTGTAAGCCCTGCTGGCTGGCCACAAGTGCTTCTTGAACACTGCACCTCTATACCTCTTGTTGAAATTCTTCACTAGATGTCTCATGCACTCCCTATGTTCTACTCCATCTGAGAAGACAGAGGCAACTCCCTTATCTATACCTTTCCCTACATCTGTGCAGATCACTAGGCCTGGAGGAGATCCAATGGCAACTTTTAGTTTCTTAAAAAACCACTGCCAGTTGTCAGCAGATTCTGACTCAAATACACCATATGCTACTGGAAAAAGCCAGTTGTGTCCATCCACAGCTGAAGCAGAAGCTAGTTGCCCTCTCCATCTCCCAGTTAGGTGGCTTGAGTCCACACCAAGGAAGGGTCTGCATCCATTCAAAAAACCTTGAACACAGCTGTTGAATGCCACAAACATCCTTGTGAACCTCATCTTCTTCCCAACCAGAGCCCACTCAATGTCCACAATGCTTCCTGGATTTGTCCTCTCCACCTCAGCCTTGAATCTGAAAACATCTTCAAAGCTGTCATCCCACTTGCCTTGAAGCTCTTCCAGAGCCATTGCCATTCCATCCCAAACAACATAGTATGAAAGTGTGATGTTGTACTTTTTCTCCAAATCCTTCTTCATTTGGGAAGCTCTAGCTGTTGGGTCATGCCTCAGGATGTCAATAACCCTGTCCCTCACCCAGTGATTGTTAGCCATGTAGTTTTTTTCCAGATTTGCTGTGGTAGCACAAGTATGTTTCTGATACATCTTCTTTATCTACCAACAACAAGTAGACATCAATAAGTAAACATCATGATCATCAACAAACATCATCAATAAGTATACATCATTAAACATCATGAATAAGTAAATATTAGCTTTGAAAAATGTATCCTCCACTTGCAATTGAGAACAGACCTGCCAAGTTTTCCCATCCTGCAATTGAGAAGCATGTATCCTCCACTTGCACCTTTTCTTCTTGCTCTT